TAAAATAAAGATGCATTCTCTTATCAATTCTGACTTAATACTTTATTCAAGATCCGGCCCAAATGCTAAACCTTTTGTTGATTCTCCTCCTGCCCTTCTAAGAAGTCATGATCCCCTCCATACTCACATATCATAGTACCATTACAGAGCTTATCCTAGCCTGTTCAGTTATGTCAAGATCTTTAGGTATCTGTTTTCCAAACAACCTGAGAGCTTATTGAAAGCAGAGAATTTTTATTTATCAAGAATCTATTTTTGTAATAACTGTAAATGGAAAGTAACCTTTCAAAATTATATAAAATTTTTTTAAAGAAATTTGAAAAAAGAATCTATTATGTGCCAATTACTAAAGAACATAGATACGGTTTTTTTTGTTTGTTTTGCGGTACGCGGGCCTCTCACTGTTGTGGCCTCTCCCTTTGCGGAGCACAGGCTCCGGACGCGCAGGCTCAGCGGCCATGGCTCACGGGCCCAGCAGCTCCGCGGCACGTGGGATCTTCCCGGACCGGGGCACGAACCCGTGTCCCCTGCATCGGCAGGCGGACTCTCAACAACCACGGCGCCGCCAGGGAAGCTCCATAGATACGTTTATTCCCTCATTACACATGAGGAGATTGGGACGCCAGTTTACACAGCTAGTAGATGGAAGAATGAGAATACGAAGCTGGCTCTGCCGTTGTCCCACTGCCTGCACAGTGGTTGCCATAAACTCTGTGTAGACTAAGATGGAGAGGTAACCAGAGTCCAATGAGGAAATGTAACATATACATTTATCAACTCCAACTAACAGCGCTCACTTTTTCAGCTGTTCCTCTCTCTCTAAAGCCACCAGCTTCATATTAAAGGGGAGTCTTTCTCAGAGACAAGTGATTTTCCTTGTCCTCTTCTATTCATATGTTTATCCATTCTTTCATTTAATGCATATTTATGAGGTAACTATGTATCTGCTCTGGTTCTACTGCATAGCATGAAATAGTTAAAAATCCCTGTCGGGCTTCCCTGGTGGCGTAGTGGTTGAGAGTCCTCCTGCCGATGCAGGGGACGCGGGTTCATGCCCCGGTCCGGAAAGATCCCACATGCCGCGGACCGGCTGGGCCTGTGAGCCATGGCCGCTGAGCCTGCGCGTCCGGAGCCTGTGCTCCTCAACGGGAGAGGCCACAACAATGACAGGCCCACATACCGCAAAAAAAAAAAAAAAAAAAAAAAATCCCTGTCATCTGGAGTTTATATTTTCGCCAAGGAGATAGGCAATAAAAAATTAAATAAAATACATAGATAATTTATATCGTATATCACAAGGTAGTAAGTGCTAAGGGACACTGAAAATAGAGCAGGATAAGGAAGTGGGATGGATTGTTAGGGGACAGTATTAAATAGGGAGGTCAGGGTCAGGCTCCCAGAGAAATTGAAATTTTAACAACAGCCTGAAGGCAGGGTGTTCCAGGCAGCAGAAACATCTAGAGCAAATGCCCTAAGATGGGAGTGTGTCTGGCATGTTCTAGAAATATCAAGGCAGTAAGTGTGTCTAGAGTGGATTGAAGGAAGGAAGTATGAGCAGATGAGGGTAGAGAATGATCCTGTATTGTAGACAGACTACCCCTGCTTTCGCAGAGCGTGTGCAAGGAAACCAGTGCCTCCAAACTGATCATTTGGATTTGGTCTTATGGCTTGGTGGACCTAGACCACATTTGTCTTCATAGAGCAGCCCTCCAAAAAGCAATGACATCATCTGGATTTAGAGCATTGCTTCAGCCAGGTTCAGCCACAGTCACTCATATGAACTCATGGATCATTATTTCTGTACTGTTTCTGGTCAGTCCATTTCTTTACATTTATGTTGGATACAGTTGATAGCAGCTGGTTATGCAATGCATGGTATGTACTCAGGAGATTCTTGTTGAATGAGTGGATATATGAGTGAGTGAATGAATAAATGAATGAATGAATGGATGGATGGATGGATGGATAGATAGGACCAGATTCGATTTTATAACACAGATGGATACTTCCACCTGTAAATAACCTTGTATTCTGGATGTAGACATAAGCTATACGCTTACGTATCATGTTGAATCGAATATCTGGAATATGGTTGAATGTTGATCAAATATTGATTATTTTTAAATGTTCCACCAAAGTAAGAGAAATTAAGGGGAATGTTTAGTTCTGTACCTTTAGAGCCATTCTCTGGCTCTTACTAAAAATACTTTAGCTTAAGCAGAGTCACCAGTTAAGAAGTGCTTAAGCCTAATCTTAGCGGAAAAAACATTGTTTCCTTTTTAGCTGATATATTTATATCTACGGTATCCACAGTGATTTCATTGTCTTGGTAAAATCTTCAACTTCAAATGTCAACTACATAGTTACTCCTTTTGTTGGACTTAACCTTGTTTATAATGGTGATTTGTTTCCTTAGCTCTTTTGTAACTCAGACCTGCTGTGGCATTTACTGTTGGCATAGGAGATGTAAATCAGAGTCCCTGAATTTTCTTTAACCTTTTGTCCACAGTTCGGAACGACTTCTGTACTATTGTAAATGCAGTAGATTGATCCTAGCATGTGGCTATGAAACTTTTGTAAATATGTTTTTTAAACTTTCCTATAATCATATATAAATACGAAGTAACAGTTTTAGAAAACATGAGCTGATATGTATTTTAAATTTCATAGGAAAAGCCAGTTGGGGACCTTTTATCTACCCTTGATCATCTTTCACTTGGTAAACAAATTCTTTAAATATGAGGGAAACAAATACGTTTATAGATCTATGCAATGTCAAAGCATCAATAAAGAATAATTACCCACTCTAGTAGGAAATTAAATAACACTTATTTTAATTGCCCTATCAATTTAAATCCATTTTCCATTTATTGTTAACAACTAATTTAACAAAAAAATCATTTCATTTCAGTATCATTCCAGAGGTGTTACGTTATAATTTACCATGCCATTATTTTTCCATTAACTAATCACTTATGCTATCTTAAGAGCAGCACATAGCCCTACTCAATATTTATTCAATACAAGGATAGTGAAATGGAGTATTTTTAAAGTGTTTTTCATTGTTGTATAAAGTGCCAAAAATTTTTATGATTGTCTTATCATAATAGAAGTGTGTGGTTTTTTAAAACTAGGCAACTAGGGGTGTGTGTGTGAGAGGGGGTTTAATTTCTTAAGCAAGTTACAGAAATGTTCTGTCTTTAGTTACAAATGTCTTTGACTTATATCTATCTTTCTGAGTAATTTGCATGTTAATTATTATCATTTCAAAATGCAATGAAAATATATGCTATAAGTATTGTAACGAATGTGTATTCAATTATATTCTGAGAAAGATTTTTTTGTTCTTATACTTTGAAAGAGTCTATCAATCATTCTTTTAAAATGGCCTCATAATGATTTTTTAATGACTCTATTCTTGTTATCATTCCATAGTTTAATATAAATAAAAGTTTATGACAATATGTATAGACCCTGAGGATGTTATGCTAAGTGAAATAAGTCAGACCGAGAAAGGCAAATACTGTATAATTTCACTTATATGTGGAAATCTAAAAAACAAAGCAAAAGAACAAACATAAAATGGAAACAGAGTGATAAATACAGAGAGAACAAGTAAGTGGTTGCCAGAGGAGAGACTGGTGGAGAGGAGAGAAGATATAGGTGAGGAAGATTAAGAAGTACAAACTTCCAGTTACAAAATAAATGAGTCAATGGTTGTGAAATGTGCGATGTGGGGAGTATAGTCAATAACCATGTAATATTTTTGTACGGTGACATATTGTAACTAGACTTATCATGGTGATTATTTCGAAATGTGTAGAAATATCTAATCACTATGTTGTGTAATAGGAGCTAGCATAGTATTATAGGGCAATTATACTTCAAAAACAAGCTCAGTCACAGAAAAAGAGATCAAATCTATGATTACCAGGAGGTGGGGGAAGAGGAGAGGGGGAGTTAGATGAAGGCAGTCAAAAGGTACAAACTTCCACTTAGAAGGTAAATAATATGAGGGATATAATATACAACATGAGAAATGTAATTAACACTGTTATACATGAAAGTTAAGAGAGTAAATCCTAAGAGTTCTCATCACAAGGAAAAATTTTTTCTATTTCTTTAATTTTTTATCTATATGACATGATGGATGTTCACTAAACTTACTGTGATAATCATTTCATGATGTATATAAGTCAAATCATCATGCTGTACACCTTAAACTTATACAGTACTGCGTGTCAATTATATCTCAATAAAACTGAAAGAAAAAAAATTATAAGCCATAGCATAGTAAAATTCTTCTCTCAAGATGGAAAATTTCCAAAAGACAACATTTTTTTTTTAAAAAGGAAATTTTCCATGTTTAAAATGATTTCATATTTTGTGGTTTGTTACAAACATGATACAGTCAAAGTATATAATCTATTTGTTTGTTCTTTAGACTGTGTGCAGGGTTGATTCGTTTGTGTTCATTCTTTATTAACTGTAAGTTAATAACAGGAAGTGCCAGGAAGTGTGAAAATATGACAAGGTACCCAGAGAAGGAAACATGAAGGGCAAGCATTGAGCTTCTTTTCCTTATCTTCTCTCTGAAATTATTACACCGATATCCAATGTATCTTCCTCATGGCTCTTATCTCAGAATTTGTGGAATGTTCGAATTGCTGTACTTTTCATTCTAAAACGTCAGAAATATCTAGGTCTCTACCCAAATGACTGGCAGGACTTCTGTTCTCTATGCTAGAGTAACAACAGCAGCAATGAAGTTAAGCTCATAGACTAAACGTGGGCGGGATTGCACTTGTGTTTTGCCTCATTAGCATTAATCAACAAGCTTTCAAATGTTTAAAGGACACAGTTGATTGAAGTAGAATTTATTGTTATTTATTACTGTTGTAATAAATTGAGGATTAATTTTTTTTCGACTGTTGAAATGTGACTAATAGCACTTTCTTAAACAAATACAAGGCTTTTCTTTTTCTGTTTCTTTTCCATAGGTTTAGGCTTCAGCATTGCAGGAGGTGTGGGGAACCAACACATTCCCGGAGACAACAGCATTTATGTAACTAAAATTATAGATGGAGGAGCTGCACAGAAAGATGGAAGGTTGCAAGTAGGAGACAGACTACTAATGGTGAGTGTGACTCAAGCAGAACTATGTGTATATTTATAAAGCTCTTGTTTCCCAGTGTATGACTGTCTTAGTCATTTCAGGCTGCCACAACAAAATACCATAGGTTAGGTGGCTAAAACAACAGAAATTTTATTTTCTCACAATTCTGGAAGCAGGGAAATTTAAGAGCAAAGTTCTGACCCGTTCAGTTTCTAGTGAGGTCTCTCTTCTTGGCTTGCAGACAACTATCTTGCTGCTGCATCCTCACATGGCCTTTCCTCTGGGCTTGTGCTGAGGGAAAGCTCTCTCTCTCTCTTTCTATTTTTATAAAGCCATTAGTCCTATCAGATTAGGGCTCCACCCTTAAGTCATTTAATTAATAACCTTAATTGCCTCCTAAAGACCCTACCTCCAAATACAGTCATATTGGGAGTTAGAACTTCAACATAAGAATTTGGGGGGAGGAAGCAGTGACCTTGGGTGGAAACAGAAAAGGGAGAGCAGATTTTGTGGTAAAAGATATCAAAAGTACAGGTATAATTGGAGCTGATTTGTTGATATTTTAAAAACAGAAAGCTAAATTTTCACCAGTTTTCATAGGCACAGAGATTATGTGTTGTTCTTCCGGTATCATCCATCTCCTATCAGCCAGAGAGACTGCTAAATCCAGACTGGTAGAGAGATGGGCTTTGCATAGCGAAGTGAACAACACTATCTGGTTTATTGATCTGTACATTTCTATGCCTGTGTTCTTCGGTTCAACCAGTGTAGACACAGTTCCTGACTTCCAAGAATTCATAATCTGAGTTCTGTCACGTGTGCAAATGGATCCCTTCCCCTTCTCCTTTCAGACAGGATTTCTACTATTTTATTTGCCAGTTGCTCACATGCTTCAGGAGTCTTGGGCAACGATTGACACCAACATGCAGCCACCCTTTCTGAGCCATGGAGTTATACGATAAACGAAAGCAAAATGTAGGCAATTATAAGCAGTAAAAAATTGGTGATTGCACCTAAAAACTGTTTCATCTCCATTTACTGTTTTATATTAAATCTACAGGATAATAATCCAATACTGAAAATTAATAGAAGATAGTTGTCAAGTAAGAGAAGTATGTCTAGTCATGTCTCCCTTTGTAAAACAGGATCTTGAATCTTTGTCACAAGGAGCCATTATCTCCAGTACTTTCACGAGAAGTGTTTGGGAAGGATCAACCTATACAATTTCAACAGAATAGTAATTTCTAGGACATGTGCAAGTTTTGGGGGTTGAACCTCAAAGTTCATTGTGCCCATGTCCCTGGACTCTAGACAGGTTGTTTGTAGTTGCACTGGGCTAATTTCATAGTTGTCAATGATTTTTGTATTGAATTATCTGGATGAGAGCTTTATAATAATCTTGATAACTAACATTTATTTGGCATTTACTATGTTCCATGTATTTTTTTAAAGGTTTTTCTGTAATGTGGTATGTATTTCTCACAACAGCCTCTTTTATATAAGCGAAGGGAAACTGAGGTATAGAGAGAGGTTTACTAACTTGGCCATGGTCATACAGTTAACAATGGACAGAATTGGATTTCAAATGCTTATAACCACCAAACATGGTCTTTGCATTTGTTTCCTAAAATGTCAGTCAGTTCTTTCCTTCCTTCCTTTAGTTATCATTCAGTCATCATTTAGTTATCATTCAGTTATCATTCATTAATTCCTTTATTTAACAAGTAATATATTGAGCAGCTACCATGTCCCAGGCAATAGGCACTTCTCAGGAAGGAACTCTGTCAGCAGAAAAAGTATGGTCAAACTGAATGGTCAAAAAATGTGGCATTAATGACTTCAGTCAAAGTGGCAACTAAGAGTTTTTGGCTTCTTTACTACTTGAAGTCACTACAATTTTATTTTGATTTTTTTAAACCATTTTATTGAGGTATGATTGACATGTAAAAAGCTGTACATATTTAATATATACAACTCCATGACTTTGGGGATAAGTACATACCCATGAAACCATCACCACCATCAAGGCTATAAAGTTATCCATCACTTCCCAAAGCTTCCTCTCACTATCATTATTATCATTATTATTTTGTGTGTGTATGGTGTAAGAACACTTAACATAAGATCTACCTTCTTAGCAAATTTTAAGTGTACAGTACAGTGTTGTTAACTGTAGGCACTAGGCTGTATAATAGAACTACCATTTTCATTCTCAGGACATTCTGAATTTTGTTTGCTTGGTTTTTTTGCCTTTGACGTGAAAGTTGGTTCTTTTTTTTTTTTTTAACTCAAAGCTCCTTTGTGTGTTTTTTAAATTTTATTTATTTATTTTTGGCTGCATTGGGTCTTCGTTGCTGTGCACAGGCTTTCTCTAGTTGTGGCGAGTGGGGGGCTACTCTTCATTGCACTGAACTGGCTTCTCTTTTTGTGGAGCACAGGCTCTAGGTGCACGGGCTTCAGTAGTTGTGGCACACGGGCTCAGTAGTTGTGGCTCGCGAGCTCTAGAGAGCTGGCTCAGTAGTTGTGGCGCACGGGCTTAGTTGCTCTGTGGCATGTGGGATCTTCCCAGACCAGGGCTCGAACCCATGTCCCCTGCATTGGCAGGCAGACACTTGATCACTGTGCCACCAGGGAAGTCCTAAAAGTTGGTTCTTATGATGTTGTGTCTTCTGAAACAGAAAAGTGTTATTGGGATATGAGACAACTTCTCTCTAATAACTTCTCTCAAGAAGACAAACTTTATTGTTTGTGGACTTAGGAATAAAATAAACTGTGATACCCATTTTCTACAGAGTGCTGAATTGAAAAATGAAGAGGACAGTTTCATTCTAAAGTAGTGCGTCATAGCGACTTATTTGACCTTTGGCTCATTGTTCTGTAAGAGTTTGGATGTAGACAACTCTTCTGGACTGCTTCTGTTATTTCTTCAACTGCTGCTATTATCATATCATGCTAGATGTCATGTGCTGATTTCTTGAAGTTCTGTTTAAATTTTTAGCGTTATATTCAAATTCGTAAAAAAAAAAAAAACCCTCAAAGTCTAAATAATTCTGTCAAAGGATTTTCCAGGCACCGTGCTATTTTTCCATTATCATTTTCTTGATATTCATTGTAGACAAAATGAGTTCAAAAATAGCTGTGACATAATCCTTAACTGTTTTGAGTTTTAAAGCATAGTTTTAAAAAAAATGAAGCTTCAACAATCATAGGTCTCTCTCCTCTTTACGTAAGGAAAACATAATTAGTACTTTCAAGGCAACTGCCAAGCTGAATCTGGAAATGAAAGAAAATGATTCATTTTATAAAATTATGAAAGAAAAATGAGCCTGAGGGAGAGCATAAATTAAAAATTCCAGAAGCCACCCCAAAAGATCAATTATCTTGTTTCAACCAAAAATATTTGTTAATGCTCTCCTTCTGCCATTCCTTTCCACCTCCTCTTCCCTTTACTACCCTACATTCATGTCTTCATCTTTCTTCTCTTCCACTCTCGCCCCCAAAGGAAGTATGAATAATTTAGATTCTGTGATTTACCAGCTGTACCACACTCTATTTTTCTATAAATAGGTTTTCTCTAAAACAACTTGTACCACTCCCTTCGCTCACTTCTTAGGAAAAATTCCTCCATATGTTATTCATTCATACTTCTGTAAGTAAGCTGATCGAGAATAAAATTCCGTTAATTTCTTTAGACTTTTGTGTATAGATCACCATAATTCGGGAAGTCTCCCAGCATCTACCCTGCAGTGAGAGCACAATCCTTTCTTTTTTTTTTTTTTTTTTTTTTGGGCGGGGGTGGGAGTGGGGGGGCATCTTTAGTAATAAACCTTTCAGTTTCTCGACTGAAATAACTTTAATGTTGGACACCATCTGAATCATACCATATATACTGGGTACTTTTTTTCCCCCTAAATACTTCTTATATGTCAGAATTGAAAAGTATCTATCTTAGATATTATCTTATTCCAACTCTCATTTAGTACATCAGAATCCCACAGAAAAGCAACCATGTGAAACAGTCCCTCACCTCTGCTAGAACTCTCTGAGGATGGAGAACAGAATGCCTCGTCGAAGCTATCCATTAGATACTAACCATCAGTAAAAATGTTTTCCTTAAAATTATATCAAAATATACTTCCCTATACAGCTCTCCCTTTAGTAAAGGTCTCTCCCTTTAGTAAAGCTCTCTCCCTTGGAAACACAATGATGAATATGAATTCCTCTTCCACATTTGTTTAAAAAGCTATGTCTTGCCAATTCTCCAGTTCTCAGTCTCTTAAGATGTTTTACACTTTTCCTCTCACGCACTAAATTTCATCGTACATCCATTTATCCTCTGAAAATAGATTACCCTTTTAACAAAACTTCTTTTGATTCTTTAGAATGTTATTCCCCAACTTAAAAGAAAAAAAAAAAACAGGCAATATTATTGCATCTGACCTTTACATTTATTCTACTGTAAGAAAAATTATCCTGCCTAAAACCTTTGCGATAAGCCTCTTAGTGTTTCAAATAAGATGACTTTAATGTCAGACCTCTCTGATGTTACATGGGTCACCCAGATGCATGGTATATGTTCTCTTTATCAAAATAACAATTTTTAAAATTTCCCCTGCTACTGGCACTTATTATCATTCACTAGAATTTTTGTTTGTTTTGTTTTGTTTTTTATTTTTTCAAATGACAGTGACATCTGATTTTTTTTTTAACATCTTTATTGGGGTATAATTGCTTTACAATGGTGTGTTAGTTTCTGCTTTATAACAAAGTGAATCAGTTATACATATACATGTGTTCCCATATCTCTTCCCTCTTGCATCTCCCTCCCTCCCACCCCTCCAGGCGGTCACAGTTTCAAATGACAGTGACATCTGATTTTAATGGATTGTACCAGTAGCTTAGTGTTTCAATCTCAGACTGAATAGATTCCCTCTTGGCCTTGAAATCATGGAACAGGTGGTCAGAGGTTAACAGTATTGATCATTTTCTAATTCTTTCATATATTTTTACACACTCATTTT